CATGTTAACTAATTGTGCAATTATTTTTTCCTCCACCATCATAAAATTCCATCTTCCCTCAACTGTCGTGCATGATCACCCCTCTTTACAAGTTGCATGCATTGAAAGAGCTAATGTAACAAAAGCGGTGCGAGTAATCTCGTATTTGAAAAACTGTCGTAGGCTGATAAATAAGTTCAAAAGTGTCGTAGTTTGATAATTTTGTTTATTTTAAGTAGAGTATTACTTAATTCCATTATTGGATCAGTACAAGTAGCTAGAAAGTTAATAAACTTAAATGGTAATTAATGGGATATATATACAACTATGATTACCGTGTTTCCTATAACCGTTTCTTCATGCATTTAAATCCTGCTCATAAATCATATAACAAGACCAAGAGAAAGCTTTTAGGCTAAATTATATTTTGAACCCTCCATCTATGGTGCTAGACCCTTTTACATTACCCCTTCAACTGTCATGTTTCTGACACTGTACCTTCAGTTACATTACCCGGCTAATTGATATCCGCTCCAAATCTGACGAAAAGTTATCTCACATGGTCTCCTTCAATTATGTGATTTTGTCTCACTTTTCATCTGTAAGTATATGAAACCCATTCAAGCAGTTACAACTTCTTAAACTCAATGTGATGTTAGTTCATCAAATATTGTAACTACAAGTGGATGGAATTATAAAAGAGCTTTTTGTATAGCCTTAAAACTCTTTTATTTGATTGCATCTGCATCTTCTTTGAAACTTTTAAGTGTTTCATCTCTCTCTTTTCATACTCTTTTATGAGTTCTTTTCCAGAAACATGTGATTGATAGTTAATTGGTTACTCTTGCAGTTGCTCCATTGATGGTTTTTTTTTTTTTTTCTTGGTCTGATTCCATTAATCATAAGTTACAGTATTTACCAAAATTTCTAATTCTATTTACCCCATAAAATGTTGGGATTTAGATCCCTTAAAGTACATTTTCCTTTAAGCTTCCTCCGGTAAATCATTCACTATGAATTCAAGTAAGATTCATTCCAAATAAGCACGTCTCGCATCGATACCCGATAGATGATTTACTATTAAAAAAAAATAATGTTACTGGATAAGATTTAAATTCGAAATGGAGATTTCAATAAGAAATGACGCATGCAGACCTGATTAGCCTATTCGAGTCCTTAGCATGGCACATGTTAGGTAGTGCAATGTGAACAAAATGAATTAATGAAGGCCGTGATGGATTGAAAAATGTGATAGTCTTTTACATAACTTTGAATTCAAGTAGGGTTCAAAGTCTTTTACATTTTCCTTCAAGCTTCGTCCCGTAAATCACTCACTATGAATTCAAGTAGGGTTCACTTAGAATAAGTATGTCGCACGTCAATATCCGGTAGATGATTTACTATTAAAAAAAATGGAAAAAAAAATAATGTTACTAGATAAGATTTAAATCAAGGGTGACCCGAGACATTTTGAGACCTAAAGCAGAAATAATGTGGTCTTTTTATTTTTAATATTAATAATAAATTTAATTTTTAATTTTTTTAAATACAAAAATATTAATTAAATTTTTTATATTCAAGTTTTTGTTATCATATTTGTAGTTAATGGTAAGAGAAAAGAAGTATGATTGAAAAATTATGATAGTAAGTTTAAACTTAACTTTTTTTAGGGTTAAAAATAAATTTTTTAGTAACTTTAGTGTTATAGTTAGTTTTTTTTTTCTTTATTTTAAAAAATAAATTTTAGACCCTTTTAATTTCACAGCTGAATTAATAGGCTCAATTTACTCAAGTTGAATTTTTTTTTATAAATTATTTATGATATCTAAAAATTTGGGACCTTCTTTAAAAATGGGCCTAAACCCCAATTTTTTTTTATAATACTGTTGAACCGCCCTTGATTTAAATTCGAAATGGAGAATCAATAAGAAATGACGCATGCAGATCTGATTAGCCTATTCGAGTCCTCAGCAGTGCACATGTTAGGTAAAGCAATGTGAACAAAATAAATTATAATCAAGACTTTGGTGTATTGAAAAATGTGATAGTCTTTTACATAATTTTTTTTTCTTTTTTTTTCCCATTTTGATATGATATAATAAATTTTGGATTTGGAACAATCATGATTTGATTATTTGATCAAGTAATACATATTCTAGAGTCGAGTATGGAAATCAACTTTTTCGAAATATAGTAAGAATGCTAATCTTACATATTACATTACCTACGAGAACCTTGTACAGACTGGCTACAACATTTTAACCCTTTTTTGTAGGATACAGTAAGATAATTTAGGGTTATGTTATTTTCATTCTTGTTAAATTCATGTTAATATTTATGTCAATAAAAAAATATAATTCTAAAAAAAAATCATATAATACTATGTAATTTTTTTTTAAAAAAAAATGAGTAAATACCTATTTTTTACTTATAATTTATATCTATATCTATTTATACTACTTATAAATGGTAGCATCTGTGAAAAAATTTTAATTTTCTATTTTACCCCTAATTATTATACTAAAGTCAATTATATTTACCTATATACTTTCACCTAATTTTTATTTTTTATTCTTAATTGAATTTTAACTTATTTTGGACTCTTTTATAAGGACTTATAAATTATTTTGAACTCATTTAGTAGTAGTACAATTACACATAATTTTTTTTATGTATATAAAAAAAGAAAAGTCTTTATATATATATATATATATATATATATATATATATATATATATTATACACGTGTAATTACCAATTTTATTTACACAATTAAATATATATTATATTTTGTTTTTTAGTATGAAATAATATAACAATATTATAAGTGATCTAATCAATTTATTTAACAAAAGAAAAATTAATAATTCTATAATATGGTTAGATAAACAAATGACTAAAGGGACTGGAGATAACTAAATAAATGACAGATTAGTTGTTCAAAAATTTATAGAATAAATGAATAATTAAATTTAATAATAATAAAAATATGAATTAATTATTTGACACTTATTTTATTCTTTAATTTAATTACTCACATAATTCAAATTTTTTTTAAAAAAAATATTATTTAAATTTGTTTAAGCGCAACACACTTCGTGCATTGCTAATATTAGTTAAATGTATTCTTTGTATTCAATACTAACACCACTCTTTTATTATAAGTTTTCATTAATTGTCTAATTTTTAAGTTTTGTATTATGATGAGTTCGTATGTTATTTGTGTGGACGGGGAAAGTTGTTGGCAACCCCCACGGGGTGTCAATTTTTGACTAAGACTCGAACTAAATTCGACACCAATTCAAAAATAAATTGGTTAAATTAAAATTTGACATGAATAACACGATTAATGAGTACAATAGATAGAAAATAATTATTTAATAAGTATTATATATAAAAAAATAAAAATTTTATAATTTTTTAAATTGTATTATATTAGTTATTGTGAAAGTAAATAATTTATTATTAACAGAAATATTGATACAAATCCGACACATACTGATACAATACAAAAATAACATGATCAAAAATAATACAACATAAAACTGATACGACACTGCTGGTGGACAAATGAAGGACACGACACGAAAGACACGCTTAGGCCCAATTACAGAGACTAAGTACTGACTTGCAAAAGTCTTGGTCTAACATTTTACTTTTCAAGTTCTACGATGTATTTATTGCATGTTGAACAAAATTTTTTTCTACTAATATTATTTGTACTTAAAAGTTTAATTTAATTTATTGATATAATGATATAACTTTAGTAGAACTATTAGATAAATACCAAATTTTAATATTTGACGGGTCTTACAGTCAATCCAAAAGTCATAATAAATTAAATCTCAACAGGAATGCTTATTGTTTTCAATTCTCTTCAACAACCCTATTCTAGTTAATTGGTGACAGATGTTGCTTTCTAAGACAAAATAATTTTAGGACAAATGACACTTTATACCTTAAAAGATTTTTTACATTCTCAATTTATTTTTTTAAAAATTAAAATTATAATATTGCACTTTCAATCAAACAAAAAAATAGCAATGAGCTCCAATTTAAAGAAAATTTAGTACAAAATTTTCATTAAAAGCACTTAAAAAATCGGTATATGCAAATAATTGTGTATAAAAATAAGATAATATGATAAATACAAAAAAAAAAAAATGTTGGCAAACGTGACAAAGCATTTGCTTTTGAAATACATTACTACCTTTTTATCTAATAAAGGATGTAATATACAAATTTTACCATTTTAGAGTATAAATTAAAAATTTTGGGATGAAAAGTGTAATTCACCCACAATCTAGTACCGAACCTAAACCGTGTTGGCAGACTGAACCGGCAGTTGACGAAGACCCTCTTCACAAGTCAGTCAACTATAAATTTTTTTTTGCTGGGTGGGTCAGTCACTGTAAATTACTCATCTACTAGCCCGCCCCAAAATTATCAAACTTCAAAGATGCATCATCCGGGGAATAAATGTCATTCAAAACAAAAAAAAAACCCATCCAACCCTTCCCCAAAATTTAGAAGTTTAATCCACGTTATGTATAGATTAGATTTTTGAGTTTAACATGTGAAAATATTTTTAATAATTAGGGTGACGGAAAGTTTTGGAAACAAAACCTCCTACTTTGAGACTAATATTAAATAACTATTTATCTTATAAACTTAAACTATTAGAGACAGTATAATTTAATTATTTATATTTCAACAAAAATTGCTAAACAATCATATCTAAAAAATTGTGGATCGATACTAGAAAACTTTGGGATCAATTCTAAAAAGGTGTGATTGGTCCAAAGTTTTTGGATCAATTCTTAATCGACCCTACTGAGGCGTAACCTGATTGATGGAAACTTCCTTTCCGATAAGATCCAAAAAATATTTTTAATGCCCTATAAAAATCCCATTAAATAATCAAGGGTTAGTTTTGTAAAAGAAGCTCCTGCCACCCCTAATAAATTATAGGATTCTAAACCTTATAAAAGTCCTCCATATATTCTTCCTAATAACCCACTAAACTTACAAATCCTATCTCACCCCCAAGTCTCTCTCATTTCTTCCCACCCAGAGAGCTTTTCCCTTGTGAGTGACTATACATATCATATGGATCAAACCAAGCACCATAACATCCAAACTCTGACTCAGTTCAGCCAATTCTACTTTCCCAAGATTGCTATTCAAGTTCTTCTCTCTGTATCTATATTTTCCTTCCTATTTTCCAATTCCTCTCTGTTTCCTTTCCTTCTCCATACTTTCAACACCTATGCTTTTGCAACTGACAGGAACTACATATTCCTGCTTTGCAATGGGATTCTGGTTTTTCTCATCGGAAACTCCGGCTTGATCAGCAATTCTCCATGGCACGCTGATAAAATGGGTAGTTCAGTGCACGAGGCTACTGCTATCGCGGAGTCGAGAGAGGGTCAAATGTACACAGCTTTTCATCCGCAAGTGGAGAGATCGTCTCCGCCGCATGCTGATATGAAAGAAAATCAGGTGAAGAACAACACTGGTAAGTCTCAGAGACCATTAACAGAATCACCAGATAGAAAGGCAATTGTTATAGAAGAAGCTGATATGGAAGTAGAAGAACAAGGGAGGGAAAATGGGATTTTGGTTATGGTTGGAGAGAGTGAAGACTTGATTGCAGAAAATGTAGATGCCAATGACCAAGCATATCAGTTTCATGATATTGAAGAAGAGGAAGAGGAAGGAATTGGGTCGTTGAGTGCAGAGGAATTAAACAAGAGATGTGATGATTTCATAAAGAAGATGAGAGAAGAAATCAGAATTCAGTCCAAACAACTAGTTTATGTTTCAGAGTCTTTGATTAATAAGCTAACACTGTAATCATTAATCTGTTATAAATAGTGACTTGTGATTTTCTGTCACAAATTCCACCTCAATTTTCTATACCTGTTTGGTATTTGTATGAATTTTCAGAAGAACTTTCTGTTTCTCAAGATAAATTTCAGTTATCAACAAAGTCTTTCTAACACTTGTTTTTTTATTCAACGGTTAGGAGTGTCTGGATTAGTTTACACGTACCTTACCTAATCTCTTCTCTAGTTTCAGACCATCCACGTCGAGATTAAGGTATAGCCTGAGGACGAGGGTTGCCAATTTCTGACACTTCAACTTAGCTGAAATTACACAAATTTATCAGTTGAGGCCATCAGAAAGCACAGTTACCTTACTGGTTCTCAAAAATATTTGTTTTCTTTCATTGAATAAGCAGTTAATGTAAGGCTTTCAGAAGTCCACCTGGCTTCGATGAGTTCAATACAAATAGGGTGAGTTCAATAGAAACTATCGACTACTTTGGCCTTGTGAAGGCGGCTCTGGGTAAACAGGAAATCCAACTCTATGAAAAAAAAAATTTATAATATAGTAGGAGCGTTTAAAACGGAAATTTTTTTTAGTGCTAGCAGGAACGCAAGGGAATGAATTTTATCCCCTAACAAGTGAAGTGCTAAGGCCCTAACAACATTTTTTTTTCTTTTAATTCTCTCGTTGACAGATTACTTGTCATATATTAGTGAGAGACTCACTTGTATATATCAGTTTCATTTGAATTCACATTAGATGATCCATCAATGAGAAAAAAAAATGATCAATGGAAATTCAATCAAATTTGAGAATTTTTAGCAGCTTTAATTAATAATTAGTGCCACTAATGGATCTCCTAGCAACTAACACAGCAGTCCCCAAATGGTTTTAGAATTGATTGCTAAATTCAGGTTTACGATTCAATCAGACAGGAAAATCAAAGAGAATCTTTGCTGGGACTAATAAATCCTAGATTTTAATTTTCTTACCCAAGATATATGGTTGTGAACATCTTTGTATTCATTATTTCGTACATGTGATTGTGATATTTTAGGTCCATACCCATTTTTTTTCAAAGGAAGAAGCTACCAAGCAAATATCTCATTGACTTGGGGTCTTCCACAAGATGACAATTTGAGTTTTAAAATATCCAATATGCCTCACATGAAAGACAAACACCAGTGAAATAAAATAATCATCCATGCTTCACTATTCACACACACTTATGTTGGTGTAGAATTTTTTATTTTTATGTTTTATTTAGCGGTTAGAGTGTCTAGGCCAGTTTACGTGCACTTCAATTAATTATCTCCCCGGTTCAGTTAAAAGCAGACTATCTTCGCCGAAACTAGGATATTTATGAGGGATAAATCTTTTGTGGCTTAGTCCCAAAATTCAAACTCATGACATCTGATATCCATCGTCCGATCAATAATAATACAAAAAGTAATGATTATGATCTGATCGCTTCTCACAACGATGCTCACATGCCAAGTGCCAAGTGCACCTTTTTTAGCAGTAAAACAATAGCATGTGATAGGTATTTATTAATAAATGTTTTTCTTTTGTTCTCACTATTTAACATATAATTCTTTTTAAAACAAAATTACAAGTCTACATAAAATTGCCATTATTACTTTGAAAAACTCCAAAATACTTATTATATAATTGTTTTGAAAAAGTTTCAACAACACACACAGAGAGAAAAGGAGTAGGGTTGTCGTCTTCTAAATGGGTGATGGGTGATGGGTGATGGGTGATGGGTGATGGGTGATGGGTGAGTTCTATTTCTTGTCCGTTATTGTTGAAGAGATTGTGGTATGCCAACAATGGCATTAGGCACACATTGTATCATATAAGCAAAGGCACGAGCAAGCTTTTGTATCAAGTCCTGTGTGGTGATATAGGGCACACATACAGTCTATTAAGATCAACCAAGGAGAATAAATGAATCTAATCCTCACAAGTTTTTTGAGATCTTTTTTAGATCCTCAAATCATTATCAAAGTGTATGGTATCGAATAAAAAAATTTAGTACTATACTTTTGAAATAAAAAATTATAACTGTTCAAAGAAATCACATAATTCATTATCGGTATAATTGTTTAACCCATGATCATGATCATAGATATACATGATTGATTGGATTAGACAAATTTAATTCAGCACCACCGAGTGGGGTGGTCCAGCAGGGTACCGACCAAACTTCTCACCCTAAGGTTAGAGGTTTGAGTCTTGGTGTCCATATTAGGGCTCGGTGATTGAGTGATGTATTAGTCTAGCTAAATTCATTCCCGAGAAGAGCAACAAGCGAGGTCAGATGTCTCATGATTCCACTAATGAAGATTTATCGGGATAGTCTTTAGACGCTCTCCTTTGCCCCCTACCTCCTTTTCAATTATCAAAAAAAAAAAAAAGATTCATTTAATTCAGCACCTCAATGAATCAATACATTTTACAACCCCCAGTTATCAATACACTGCACACTAGTAGATCATATCTCAAGTTTTCTCTCACTTGGAAAAAATTCCCACTACTTCACTATGTGCAAGAACCAAAGTATATTCCTTTTATATGTGGTGATGGATGTATCTGTGCGTGCAAGATCCTGCACAATATAAAAGATATTGGGAACAGCTCTCTCCCCTGGTGAACTTTGAGTGAGCCGGTTGAGCGGCCAAACACACTGCTTGAAACAGCCTACAAGGAACGGTGGCAACCTGGAACGGCAAAGGAAGATCCTGGGAAAGGAAGAACGATCCTGCACGTGTGAAAGGTGTTTCCTGGAACAAAGGAGAACAAGTTAGAAGGGCGCCGGAGTGTTTTCCGGCGTATCCCCTCCGACGGTCTAGTCAGTCTTTGAATGAGAGAGAGGAAGGAGAAAACACTGATAAGGATATTTTGTAGTAGTGAGTTTGTGATTGCGTCCCCCTTTGCCTTTTTGGGAGGAGTATTTATACCTTAGAAGCTCATGATTGCTGTCAGTGTGGTCAGCAGGTGATCATCAGGCACAGATAGCGTGTGTATTGATTTGATGAGGAATGTCGTCTCTAATTGATTGCTCGGGGTCCCGAGCAATCAATGCTGAGCCGTCGGGACGCCGACGGTACAATATGCTCCTTTCGGGAAGGATGCAATAAATGCTCTGTAATGGGAGCATTTATTGCCTTTCATATCCGAACCTTACCGCATTGAATGCGGTCTCGTCAACAGAAGGGTGCAATTAATTTGTTTGCTTTCCCAAGTCGCGTGTCAGCGACGGCATGCGGTTTGTCTGCTTCTGATATGACATTATCTGCCACACGTCCATCCCTTATTGGCTGTGACGTCGATATTCCAGCGTGTTCTGACATTACTTGTGTTAAGACGAGGTTATGATGAATAGTCTAGACTGGCATAGGCTGATGTCCCGTACGTCAGTAGCTTTATCCGGGAGTAGAGGAAGCGTCCAGGATGGAGTGTCCCTCGGCACCGAGGAAAGGCTCACCTCGGGGACCGAGGGTGGTATGTTCCGAGATACACAGTGACCGAGGACACGTGTCGTTGTATAATGCACCGAATATGTGATCCTATATGAGAGGTACCTCGGGGGAGAGGACGCCTTTTGCCGATGGTGCTCGAACCCGAGCAACATTGTTCTAGAAACCCCGAGGACACGTGTCTTCATCATAGGCTTTTCAGAAGAGTCCCATCAACTGCCCCCCAGCCTTTGATCTTCTGACGCCGAGGACACGCGTTGTCAGGAGACGAAGGGTTTTTCAACTGCCATCCGTCCTTCATTATGGCCTCGAGCAGCTTTCCCCGTCTTGGGATGTCGTGCGCATTAAATGCGCTGTTTTTGGTTCTCCCGCCCAATGATGACAGTTTCCCCCCTATATAAAGGGGGTTCTTCTCCGGTTTCCATCGTTTTGCCATTCCGATCTCTGACCCAGAATACGCCCTTTCTGATCTGCTCGCCGGAGTTTTTGTTTCCTCAGCCATCGTCGACAGCATCTTCTCTTAAAACCTCAGCCAGTAAAACCCATTGTTGACTCCTGGTCCTTCCGGTGCGAGTCATTTTTAAAGTTTTTCCTGAAAAACTCCGTTTCCGACGTCTTCTGGTGAGTTTCACAACCTTCTTCTTTATCGTCCTCCTAGCCTTCTTGTTTTCCGATTGAACGGTGGTGTCATCCGGTCGGTACGTCTTGATTTAAACCCTCGGGGAACTTCCTCAGGTTTTCAAGAGAGAACACCTTTTCCTTCCCTTTCTTTTAGAGATGCCTCGTCGTCGCCCTGTTCCCGAGAATCCATCGGCTGGTCCCTCGGGGTCAGGGAAATACAAGGTGACAGGCGAGACGCAGATCGACAGGTTCAGGGCGAAGTATGGCATCCCCCCGAGCATGGACGTAGTGGGCTTTAACCCTTTGTTGAACTCTCCTACCTTCGGGGCCGCGGATGCCATGCCTTTCTATACCAAGGCCATCATAGAGGGTGGCATTAGGTTTCCTTTACCCCCCCTGCTTCTTCAGTTCCTGTCTCGCTTCCGTCTTTTCCCCGGGCAATGCTGCCTCAACGTCTTTCGGATAATTATGGGGGTCCTAGAGCTCAATAGGCGCCTCGGGGTGAATATTGGGCTCAATGATCTCCTTTTCTGTTACTCCCTCCTAAGAGTCATGCCCCACCAACATTTCTACCTCAAAGCCAGGGACCCCTCCATGTACCTTGTAACCCATCTTCCTGACTCGGACAAGGGGTACAAGGACGACATCTTGATCTTCAAGGGATGTTGGGAGAGGGGTGTTGGTCCCGAGTACAATGACTTATTTTGCCCTCGGGAATGGAGAACGACAAGTACGTCGGTTCCTTTGGGTTTTTTTATTTGTTTCTTGGGACTTCTCATGTTTATGACAATCTTTTTTGTTGTGCAGATATTCCTTCTCGGGAAACAGCTCCACCCCCTCGGTCGCTGGTCAACTTTGCCGACCTAGTAACGGTTTGGAGTTTCACGGGCGCCGACGGATTTGGCCGAGCTGCCCATAATCTGCTGCACTATACCCCCGGGTATAAGAAGTTCTCACAGCTCCCTCAACCTTTCGAGCCTTCGCAGTGGTCAGAGCTCTTTGATCAGGCGGCGAGGCTAGAGGTCGAGCAGAACTTGGAGGAAGACCCGGATCGGGCTTC